AATGTCCTGCATAGCTGGTCACTCTCTCTTCATCTATCTGTTTTTTATTCCCTAAGTTATAAACTGACCAGAAAGGGCAACGTCCCTCCCCTCGACTAAACGTTCTGTTTAGTTCAAAGCAGATAAACTCTTGGCCAATTGCTAATCTCTTGATTGAACACTTGAAGACAAAGGTTATCACCAAACAAATTTAGTTAAGGCAGCGAGGGGCGAAGGATCTCAGCAGCACTCGCAACTGATCTAATCAACTACACAGCTAAGTTGATTATAAAACTGTGGGTCTGAAGTGCAGATGAGGGCTGGGGAGGGGCAGAATGGTGGAGATGAGAGGAAAATCACCAGGAAGAGAGGACAGGAGGGGTGAGCGGCAATCTACAGAGGTGAAAACAGATGTATGAGAAGAGAAGAGTTGTGTTGAACAAAGCTGCTCACAACAGGCTGGAGTCAGGAACACTAACAGATTATACTTTAGGGGCAGCAGTCGCCATGAACTCCACTGCTGGTTCAAAGCAGTGTGCTGAAACAAAAGCTAAGGCTCAAGAAGGAGTAAAACTACAGAGCGGAGGAGAACACAGCTAAACTCAGAGGGCTGTGGTTAAGGTCGGGTTTATAAGCAGTCCAGCGTGGTTCTATTGGTGCCAAAGCGTGATGTGGTTTACAGCAAAAACAAACAAAAAAAAAAAAACAAATCAAACAAAAGTGGTTTGGATTCATTTCAATAAGCTTTTAACATTTTTACATTTAGCATAACAGCCAAAATCATCAGTGAACAAATAATGAAAAAAACTGAGGCAAAACTCTGAAAAGTATGGAGTGCATTTCTGTTCAGATCTCTTTACTCGAGAAGAACCTCATTAAAATGAATGAAGGCCCAGTTGTTACTGGAAAATAACACACATAAACCTTACCTGAAACATGTACATGGCACTTTTGACAGTAATCTGCACATTTATACTTGTAATTTCTGCAGGTCAGAGCCCTGGGGATGTGCCGCCACCAGACCTGCCAAGGAACCTCAAAATGTTCACTAAACATTTTAAAACGATCATTTGCTGTTCCTCAATTTTATTTTTGCAAATTAGCCAATAACTTCAAAGTGCAGTGTACTATAAAAGTAACATGTACATGTTTCAAGTAAGGTGCATTTGCGCCTTTGCAGCTGACCACAGCCATTCCACTCAGTTAGAGCTGTTCCACTCTGTGCACTGCGGTCCATGTCTGAACATCCTAGATGCACTGATGTTCTGCAGCATACAGCACCATCTCCACATAAAAAGGGAGCAGAGCATGTCATTTGGGAAGGAAGTAATTTTAATCTAAAGAAAAGTGGATCCGGTGGAGTTCAGAACTAAAAGACTACATATGCTGTAAGAAAACTTTCTGTTGATGCAATTAATCAACAGCCATAATAATTATGTGTATCTGAATAAAATGTTTAAAAAAGACTCTAATCTGATCCAAGAAAAACAAGGTACAGTAAGCTGATTAGAAAGGGCAGGAAGACAAGACGGTACTGTCCAATTAACCACTTTATTTGTTTATTGACCTATTCACAGCCTATAATTACACTGCTATAGAGAGGTGCAACAGGGTACCTGACAAAAACCGTGGCACAACTTCACCTCCAGTGGAACCCCGGCGTAGAATAGAAGATTAGAGCATAATCAGCATCATGAGGACCAATAAACACAGCATGTACTCCAGCTAAATTGGTTGGGGGCAGGTTTAACGCAGGGGTAGGTTATAAAATGAAACCCATAAAACAAATTTTCACAGAAATCTGTGCCGTTCATCATCTGAAAGAAGAAATAGCACAGGTGCAAACCTATTAAGACAGTCCTGACAAGGCGAGGATTAACCAGATAAAAGCTAGAGTCACTTTTGAGGAGCTGCAGAGATTCAAAGTTTAGGTGAGATATTCTGCCATTTATTTTTATAGAACAGCTCAATTAACAAAAAAAAAAACAGCTTTTGTTAAAGGAAAGTCATCATTAGCTCCATTTAAAGTTTGCTTTAGGCTGGTGGGCTCTTGTCAGAACCAACTAAAATCTTAAACACTATCTGTAAAAAAAAAAAACTAAACATCAATCAAATATGCCATTCCTCACAGTGACATGTACTAGTTACAGCATCATGCTTAAGAGGATGCTTGTCTTACAGAGGAACAGGGAGGCTGTCTGTGAGCTTATGTGCAGATGGGTGGAGATAAATGTGGACATATAGAGGATGTAAATGTATTGATACTGGTGTGTTACAACCCTAAATATACATCCAGAGTTGCATGGAATGTTTTACGTCGAAGCGATATGTTAGACAAAGTCCAGTCAAAATATCTTGTCCGGATCTAACAGCAAGAGGATCAGCTTCCAATGATTAGATTAGCCTGAATCTAGATATGAACAACACTTTCAAGAGTTTTATTTCTAAATATTTCCCCCCACCTAATGATTATGCACTGTTTGCTGTTGTGAAAAGTCTTGGTGTTATGGGTATATTTACTAGGAGCTTTGATAAACCCAGCCAAGAGCAGGGACTACTACAGTATTATCTTTAAGGGTCTAAAATTCTTTCCTGTGTGTCCCTTCAGCTGTGTTTCAAAGCAGTATGTGTAAAGTCACCAGTGGGAGGGTGATTTTGTCACAACAGCAACCCAACCGGCACAGAAGCTCTGACAATCTCTACAGCAAACAGATCTCAGCCAGAGCTGCTCCTGCTCCACAGACAGACATACCTGTTCTTTCTCTGACAGCCTGTTCCTCAGTATTAAACCCTCACACAATGAGCAGACATGCACAGTGGCAGGAAGGTGAAACTACTCCTGAATACAGCCCCGAGCTGTGCTCTGGAGCACGACAAAACAGGGGATAGTGTTCGTAGACTGAAACGCCACTGGGACCAATTAGACAGCGCAGAACGGCACGCTTCAGAACCAGTTTAAAAGGCCCGCTTCTAGAAAGGATAGCTGAAGGGGTGGGATTAGGTTGTTTTTTTTTTATTGGGAGAACAAGGGGATCTTTAAGTGTAAGCTGGACAGAGGTTAGGAGTTTTGCATGTTAAGGATTACGTGGCAGCATCTGCTGCCTCTGCCAAATGTGCTGATCTAAAGCAGACTGAAACACTGATGCTGAACAACCTGAATCCGTCCTTTTCAAAGCAGCTGCGTGTGGCATTATATCACCTTAATTAATCAATGTCATGTTAATGTGTGTAAACGAATGCAAATGAGACACCTGCTGTGATTCATTGCCTGTAGACTTGAAGGTGTTTTGCGTTAGTTTTAGTTAAAGATGCTCAATTTCTGCATAAAACATTGTATTGTCCCTGCAGCACAGCCACTATTCCTCTTAACTACATTTTTTGATAAACAGGTTATAATTAGTTTAATTTTTTTTTGCAACAACAGTTTCAAAAATATTCACCAAAGGGATGAATGTCAGATTTTTTTCTGGCCTTAGAGGAAGCATTTAAACCTTTTGTATATGAGGTGTGAAATAATCATAGGACAAAAACAAAAAAAATCTGCTGGGACAACATTCATTTCCACACTGAAGTTAGCTTTCATTCCTAACCAAGAAATAAGCCACTTGTTCTACAACACTTTGGGTTGGTTTAAATACTTTTCAGTCAGAAAATAGAGGTACAAAGTCAGCACGACAAGTGGAGGCTTTAAAGGCTCTAGACATAACCCACTGTCAACCAAAGAAGTGGTAGTATCAAGCTGTGGGACTGTTTTGTTTCCAAAGCTACTGATGAACTGTACAAAATAAACTGAATGACAGAGAAATAACTTATCTGGGTAGAGTATGGAGTAGTTGTTTTTTTTTTGTTATTACTGTGAATATTACAAATGGAACTATGAAAAACTTTGAAATGAAAAATAGGTTTTGAGTTATAATAATAGCTGTTTTCTCGAATTTTGTTTTTTTAAAAATTAAACAGAATATATATATTTTCAAGTTTTTGTTTTTATTTTATTTCTCTTGAGTTCTCAAGAAGGGCTCTCCTTTTGAGGGAGGAAGAAAGGTGTATTTTTTTTTTTCTGCAAAGATCATTATTCTTCACTCTAGATGAAAGCTTGACGTTAAAAACGTCGTTTCAACCAAATTTTAATTTTAAAACACAATCTGAAAGAGAGAAATGTGAAAAAATAGAATATGAAATCTGAGAAAAAAGTTTAAAAAAAGGTTGAAAAAGACACGAAAATATATATTTAAGAAAAATCTAACATAGGAAAACAGCAACTTTTTTGATTGTATTTAATTTTTATCAGAAATCATGTTTATTAATTCATTTTTTAAATTTCCATGTACAACACATATTTACTTACAATAATACTACTGTAGGACATAATTCACTCCATGGTAAGATACCAAAAAATTTTACTTATGTAAGAATAAGAAAAGGGTTTGAAAAAATGGCTGCTTATGTGCTGCATAATTGTTGCCTCATAACATCTGATTGAATACTTAGGGTTATATATTTTGATAGAAAGTTATGTGCAAACTCTGGTGTTTTATGGTAGAAAATTAAATACAACAAAATAAAATTATTGCAATATTAAGGCACAAGTACCACTTTTCAAAATAAATGATTTACCATAAAATTATAAAACAAAACTTTACAGTAGGTAAAGCATATACAGTGAGGAATGGTTTTGGGTATGGGGTATTGCAGTCTAACAAAAGACGCCAAACGACCCCCATTCCAAATGGTTTGACCCCTTTGTCTGTTCCACTTTGCATGTTTTCAAAACAAAAACAGGACTTTGATGGGCTGTTGTATAAAACTTCGAACTGAATGCTATTCCTGACATTTTGAATTGAAAAAGCTTCCTGGATGGGAAGTGAAACATCTTCAAATTTGGAAACCAAGTCCAGTGGACTGTTTTTAATATTTTTTTTTTTTTTTGGAATATGGTACTGATGTTTTTCCATTAGAGAGTCCCAAAAAAAGGTCTCCAGCTAAACTAAAGGTTAATTAGAAGCTCAACTTGTTCTTACCTGAGGACTTCATTGGGGTTGCCTGAGATTGGGGTTTTCTTCTCTGGAGCTCCATGGCATTCTGATTTCAGCAACGTATGAGGTCCACGGTCCATCATCATCGTGGAAGTTGCCATGGTGATGATGGCCACACCATCCCGAACACGGGCTTCCAGACCATAGTCCCACTCGTCGTAGGATACGGAGAGCAGACCTGTGTGGACAAAGCAAGGGGAAAAGAAATGTGATTCGAAGAAGCTTTGAAAAAAACAAGACCCTAAATAGAAACCATGAGTGAACCCAACTTAATTGGTTTATTGTGAAGGAACCGAGAAACCAATTTTTTGGGTTTGAATAAGGACTCAGAGAGATTAAATGCCAGACCTGTTAAATGAAAAAGAAAGTTACTTAACAGGAAGAAGCTAAATATCTCAGAAAGTGTTAGGATTCCAGTTTGTGTAGGTTGTTTTTTTGCGTTTTCCTCTCTCCACCACCAGGCGGTGCCCTGTCCTCGTTGGGCCTCCCTGCACACCTGTGGCTCGTTGGGTCATTACCAGAGGAGTACTTGAGCAGCGGGCTGTCACCACCTCGACGCCAGAGTGTTTGCCAGGATTGGGAAGACTTCCTGTATTACTGGATAAGCCTGGACCTTCTACCCGTGGAAGGATTTACTGAGTCTCACTGAGCAAGAGGAAAACCTCCACATGATCCGTTCAAGTCCAACCCTGGAAAACCAGGTGACAGTCCGCTCCTTTACTCCTCTGGGTCGAATGTATGTCTGCCTGTCCGCTCTCCAACGAGTTCCCTCTTCTCTGGATAAAACCCCCACAAACTGGATTCAAGGATAAACCAAGAAGTTTCCGGTTGCGGTTCACCAGTCTGCTGAGTTCCAGCATTGTTTCCCCATAGAGTTTTAATCTCCATCTGTGTTTGCATACCTACAATAAATGTGTTAAACTTTTACCCTTGGTCTCTGAGTGGTTCTCTGCATGTGGGTCAGATCTTTAAAGCCCACTATGACAGAAAGAAGTGAAGAACCCAGAATGATGTCTGCCAATGAAGGTCTTCTTTCAGTTAAGGGCAGAGCTCAGTATATCAATAAGGGACGTGGAAAGATAGCCAGGACAGTTTAAAGATGAAAACCACAGTTGACTGAAAAGAAAAGGTGTTTCTGTCACATTTGCTTTAGTGATCATAAAGCTGATCGAACCATAAATTCTACTATTCTGCAGAAAACCATGATTAAAAGCAGTCTTGGGTTATGAAGCACACAATACCTGAAAAATATCAAAAAGTCCATCGCTAAAGGGCTCCAACAAGAGCACTTAACAAAGATTATTGAGAAACTAATTAAAAGTCTGCAGCATGACCTGAAAGGCTAGAAGTACCTTTGTTATGTTGATTTAAGACACATCTGAAGAGCCATATATTTTAACTTAGATGTAAAAGACCTAATGCTAGTGATCACAAACACTTGATAGCAGTTTTTGCTACGAAGGGTGGTACAACCAGTTATTAAGCTAAGGTGCTTCCGCCTGTACACAAAGGGCATGGCAGGTCTGAATAGCCTTCCTTAACAGGGGCCTACAAGGTGATTTATTCTTCCCATGTGGACGTAAGACAAGAAGCAGTTCAGCTCAAAAGGGTGGCAGCAGTAGTGGAAATTCTTAACTAATCTAACTTTTTTAATTCTTAGTATACAGAATTAACAAGGAAAGGAGAGGAAAAATACATTAATATACTAACATTAAGGATGACAAATGTAGAGTTTATACACTCGTCTGAACTAGTTTTTGTTTGTTTTGGGGGAGAAAGGAGAGGTATGTGTCTCAGTTAAACATTCGGAAGTCTCATATCTTATTACAGATATATAACAAAAAAAGCCATTTAATGTACGTATTAAAGTATGCATATACTAATTATATGCAGAGCCTTCATTGATTAAAGGTATAGAGGAGGTTTTTTCAGGAAATGTAAGAAATGCCCAATTCTCTTTCTGAGTAATTGCCCATATGCAAGATCACAACACACTCTTACGCGCCATTATGCAAAAGAATCTCCTAGATATACTTTGGACTCATTGCTTTCTTCTGGAGCCTTCTGGAGACTGTTTGCCTCGTGCAACTCAGCCTTTTTAAACGTATGCAGGGAGAGAAGTGTGGCTACAATTAATAGCTGAAGCTGCGCAGTAGGAGCACACATCGGTGTTAGGTCCATGTCACAGAAATTGGCATGCGGAACAATCAATAGATAAGATGATCGACTCAGAACTCAAAGCCTAAAAATTATTTTCCACTATAGCTTTAATCAGACATCATGTGTAAACATTTTTATTAGCAAGGTCTAATCTGTCGTCAGTGATTTATTTAAGGTATGTTGATGTTGTGCTCATTTATGTACAGTGTGATTAATGTAGACCGACCCTGAATTGGTTCTATATGATTTCAGCCACCCTCTGTCTCTGCTCGCCATCCATATGGAAATTGTTTGGCTATGCCCCTGTTCCTTAGTAAAGTAAATCATTATCTGGTTTAAACACTTGTTTGATGACCTGACTCATTTGATTGAGACGAAAAAAAACAAAAAAAAAACAAAACAAAAAAACAGAAGAAATCTTTCAGGCGGAAATACATGCAGTAAATGTGTCATTGCAACAAAAAAAGGTCTTACAGAAAGGAGAAGCATTTCTTTCATTCAAGACAGGAAACTGGGTATAGATTTATGATTCAGGGAGGCTTCAGAGTGGATAAATACCAGTCACATTCTGCCTGGCTGAGTGTCTATCACCTTTCTTAGTTTGTCCATCTGTCTGTTTATATCTTTGTCTGTGTCTGCTGGCCTTTGTACTGTCTTCTGCCTGTCCATTTGCCTTGTCTAAATCCTAGTTTCAAATCTTTAAAAACACGTGTTTGTATTTATGTTTTTTTTTTGTGTGTTGATTTTTTTTTTTATTGGCCAGCTGTCTCAGAGATCTCTGCAGGTTCTCATGGGGAAACCTGGCTAACTATTGCCAGGAAGCCTGATATTCTCCTTTATACCATTTTGTAAACAGATGTTTAAACCATTCAACATAAATATTTAAAGCTCTAGATAATGATTTATCATACAACTTTGCCATTTTCATACAGCTTGTTTCAACAAAACTCACCAGCTCACAGCTAATAATTTGCTTTTGGCCAGTATTTTGTTTTGATACAATAATAATCTAAAAATAAAGACAAAAAAGAACGATAAATGTCGATATATTTGGAAAATCTCCCAGTTATGTATCTGATCAACTGCTGTCATTTTGTATTCAAATCTATTTTGTGATTTTCATCCATAGTGTAATTAACCAATGACAAATCATCCCCATTAATTGATGAGACACAGTGTGTGCAGCCTGGTGCACAATGTTTATCTCCTTTTAATGACAAGCTGGTGTCATGATTTGATTGTGTTTGGATCTAATCACTCTTCTCCAGCCTGACTTACAACAACTCTAATTCTACCAGGAATCATTTTAGAATATGGTGTTGGAGCAGCTTGGGTGGTGATATTTGTAGAACCATTTCTGAATTAAAACCAGTCACAGGAAAGAGGTTCCCAAAGTGGGGATACAGTTAAATGTATGAATTAAGTAATTAAGTTTTCATTTTCAAAGAACAAATTTATTTAAAAAAAGACACAAACATATATATATTTATTAATAAATATAACATGAAGTAAATGTATTTTGAAGCGGTCACCAGTCTGATGCATTGTTATTTTGTGGTAAATTCTTAAAATCGTGGACTTTTAAGACATAAAACATACATTTCCTTCAATTAAAACAATTTTATTATGTATCTAAAGTCAGCATCCAACTGGAGAGTGAGCTTATGACTTAAGTCTTTTGCAGCCTCTAAAAGTTTCCTTATTGTCAGATCCATCATCCTATTAGCTCTAACCAGGTTCCCACAGCATGATGCTGCCACAGCTGCCATCTTTCATGTATGGAGATGCATTTTCATGCTGGTGTGCAAAGTTAGTTCTTAGAGTAGAGTAAGAAGTTCAATCTTGGTTTTATATCACCTGAGGACTGTCTAGAATATATCTGCTGTGTTGCCGAAAGGGCCAGTAATAAACTGTTAGCAGGAGGCCGTTATGCCTAACACACGGAAAACGATCTGCCCCATACAGTGTCTGCAGCAGACACTTTACTGTATGGCTGACTTTCAACAAAAGATTTCATCCAGCCATTCTTCCATAAATGGTTAATTTATGAAGTGCAACACTAAGAGAATTGCTGTCAAAAGTTCCTTCCCACCTGAGTTATGGATCCCTGCAGCTTCCCAGTGCTGTTTGCTCGCTAAAATCTTAGAAAAATCATTTGACATCTTTGCAGTTCAGCTGATTTTATTCACTGATACTGTATGAAACTGCATTTTACAAACTGCATACTAAGTAGGGGAGATCTCTTGGCAGTTGCTAGTACTGGATCTTATTTGGAGGTTTCAGAGATACAAATACATAACTCTACTTTTTTATTTATTAAAAGTGTATTTTAATTTGTAAAAGTGACATGTGTCATGTTTCCCTCTGTGCTGGTATATCACATATATTTACAGTAAACTGCATTGAATTTCAGGGTGATATTGTCACAAAAACCAAAAAGAACTGTAAGAATATACTTTTAGCTACTTGTTATCAAAAAAATAACTGAAACCACCCTCTGCTTAGGTTCACAACTGAACTCAAAGTGTCGTAAATAGAAAAAGATCTTCATCTGGCCTGTTATTGATAGCATTGTATCAGCACCACTGTATAAATCTATCAGGGTTATCAGAGTTTCATAGCTGTGCATCTTGAAGATTAAAATTCTGCAAATAGGAGGTGATGCACCATTCAGAGGGATCTATTCTTGTAGCACATTGGATCCCTCCAGTAGCGACAACCTAAACATTTAGGCCTGAAGCAGGATGCCAGGTAAGACAGGCAGCTGCTGTAAAGCAAATGCTTTACATCAAACCTTTAAATACGAATTCAGTTTTTGAAGAACTCGTAAACTCCAGTACAAGCTCATAAAATCTGCAGGATGTCCTTTTCAGTATGTTACAGTCTTATGGATTAGAGGCACAGGTTAAGTCCTCCTGCCAGTTTTCCTTGCTGTCCATTTCTCTGTCTTTCATTTACTCTGTCCCTCTCTGCGTCTTTCATTTGATCTGCATCGATCTGACAGTGTATGACCACATG